AAATGCCCCGAACAGAACGCTCGATGCACTGTTCCTCGAAGCCAGAGTCACGAAGTCGCAGTCACCAACTCTGGGTCCGCTGGCAACTTGTCGAAAGGCTGGCCGTCTCCTCTAAAAGTAGCCTTGTTTTTCGCACCGCGCATCACAATATAATTGCAATCTGGGCCCCACCTGTAGCGCGGTTGAGGCGCTCTTTCCCTGCGGCCGGAACCCCCCCAGTACGCTGATCGCCTGCGGAGTCAGTCCCACGTGGCCCATGACTGCGATCCCCGCCTCAGCCAAAGCTTGTGCTGCGACCACTCTTTTGCCATGCCCCCCCTCCAACTTGACTGCGTCCATGCCCCCCTCCTTGAGAAAGCGCGTGGCGCTGGCGATGGCCTGCAGGGAGGGGTCGAAACAGGTTTGCTCACAAAAATCTAGTTGGGAATTTTGACGAAGTTAGCTCTAAAGCAGCAACTATACAATCGGAGATGAGGAATCCTCCTTTCCGGAGAGAAATCTGTATACGCTGAACTATAAAGTTGCCTACTGATATGCTAAGTAAAGCTTTGGTGTTCAAAAACCGTCATACTTACGGTGCAGAGCAAACAAAGTTTTGGAAAGCTGAAAAAGTTTTTAAAAGCAAGGCTGCCGGAGCAAAGTCTAGCCAAAACAACGGTGTTTCCAGTGTCCGGAGACTATTGACAAGCGGTGGGCTTTGGTGCATCAAAATTGGAAAACCTGGTTGTAGATTTCGAGGTTACGTGCTTTCTGATCATTGGGCTTAAAAGCTGGTGGCTTGTATCAAAGATATGTCTTCACGTTGTCCACAGTGAGTGAGAAGCACAGACATTGAAAAAGCGGCATCGATCAAACAATTTCTCGCTGTTTTGAAGCGCTCCGTCAGCTGGACGGGTAACTGACTGTAGTGTATCGCAGGTTACTTTGTCCATTCAGGAGCCCGTACTTCTTCACGATGTTCACTACAAGAAATTACACAAATCCCCTGGTGCTACCTGTCTAAAGTCTCACCCCATAGATCCATATTCCCGCACTCAAAACTCCTAGCTTGGGTGCAGGCAAAGCTAAGAAGCGCTTCAGGCCCCGCCTTCTTTCCGACTTGACAGCCCTTCTTGACTTACTTTAAGCGCTTGTCAATCACAAACAGACCCATCCTCCCCTTGATTACGTTTGATTGTTAGGTCTCGGAACCTGGGTCTTGGAAAGTAAAGCTCGGCTTACTTGTTCCGGCCCTTGCTCGTAACTTCCAAAGGGCAAATCCCCAATGAGCATGGGTCTTCGTGCCCCTCTCGCGACCGCCTTGCAGTGTAGGATCATGTCATCCATCGTGACAGGGAGCGTGGTGTCATGCCCGTGAACCACCATGCCAACACTATCGCCAACCTGTGCAGAGAGGTCGTCTTGAAAACGCAAAATGACAGGAATTCAAGCAACAACAAGCAACGACTGTTTTCGTATTTTGGATAACACTTGGTGTTAGTACATTGAGGAATTTTGAGACTTCCAATGACAACGCGATCTGCAAAGCTGTTTTGCCAAAGTGATTCTGGGGCAAAGGAACCCATGTAATAACAGAGTAGAATCAGCAAGGGTGGTGGTGCTTCATAATCTATCTGCAACGCTCCCAGGATCCATCTGTGTGGCTTCCAGCTGCGAGCACACCTCAATTTCAAAGGGTCAAAGTGGTCCAAGCGTTTCTACAATCTGACCATCAAGGGCGCTCGGACTTCTTGGTTGATTGACGCCTCGATTGTCCCATACAAAAGTCATCATTTTTCTTTGATGTAAGTTACTCCGCCATCCTGGAAATTCATAGGTCAGAGAATCAACTTAGGTACTCCAGTCATAATTCTCATTTCTAATCAACACCCACTGGCTCACCAGACACAAGTCAATGCCCGCAGAGTCAACGTGCACAGCACTGGGGTAGTCATAAGCAGTGACCACAGTGATCGGTTCCCCCGCCTTGTATTTCCGTTGCAGCAGCCTCAGATTGAACCGCTGCGCTGGGGGGGACTGGGGACCACCATACACAGTACTCTCCGGAAGGTTAGACATGTTTCGAACCTGGAATTGAGGCTTTGGTGTGGTGTGTGGTTTCGGCGAAAGAAATGAATGAGCACCAGAGGTGTGGAACAGAGTTTGGAAGAGGCTCGAGGGTTTGTTCAGCTTGAAGCCAGGAGTTTGAACTAGCTGTGACTGCAATGCTGGGAGACTGAGAGAGGATTTGCAGCTTTGCACGGAGCAGCACAGTCGCTGCGTCAGGCGTGGCAGCACGAAACTGCCTGAGGACAAAACCATGCTGACCCAAGCTCTTACTTGAGCGTCTTTGACGAGTGCACGGTGCCGTTTTGCTCATTGATTGCAACCTACTGAAGCAGCTGCCAGTGGGAAAGCAGAGCCTGCAATTGCATATTCTGCATACCCTCTGCTGCAATAGCAGGCTCTTGGCGTCACTACAATTGATGGGCTTTTGAGTCTTGTGCTCACCAGCGAAAGCCCAAAGTTGTTGCCATGGGGAGCTCGTCCTTGAGAAAACATGGACCCCAAACCATTGCCTTCTCGCTTGTATGGTTGGACTCGGAGCAGAAGTTTGCTGGAGAACTTGTTACAATTTTTCACACTTTTTCAGAAGAAGGATTGCCGAAACAAGCCGGTTCCGTGGGGCATTCGCAAGCGTACAAGCAGACGGAGTCGCGCTACGGGCGACAAAGCCCGAGAGTTACAAAAGGCTCCAGCGACTTGGCTGCCGGCTTTTCCTGTTGCCATGACCGGCGGCAATGGCGGATTTTGTCCCATCAAAAAAAGAAAGTTGTCAAAACACAGTGAGCGCTGCCAGCAGCGCTGGCACTAAGTTTCAAGGTCAAAACTCAGCAGGCGCCTAGCTTATTAAAAAGGCATCTGAAGTGCTTGGCAAAAGGCTTCAACTTCGGGGAGAAAGCTCGTGATTGAAATACTGAAACCAGCTGTGCAGTTCAGGATCTTCCCAGACCAATCGCTTGCTAGCGAAGCGTCCCTGTCTGCAAGCCTCGGGATGGAACGCTTGCATTCGCTTGCATTCGCTTGCATTTGCTTGCATTAGACCGAATGCAAGGTGTTGAGTCACCCAATCCAGCTGAAGACCGGCAAGCGCTTTATGTCAACTAATTCAGCTTGAGTGCGTTGCTAAACAGAAGCATATTGCACCGCTGAGACGCTGGCCCACTCGGATGCGCCATGGGCAACCTGCTGAGCGCTTGCCTGAAACCCTCCACCTCTCAAGAAGAAGAGGAACGGCGCAAGCAACAGCAGTTGCAGTACCAACAGCAGCAGCAATATCAGCAGCAATTCCCTCAACCGCAGATCCAACAACCATACAATCAACAGAATCAGCAGCAAACGTATGATCACCAGTATCAGCAACAACCATATAACCAGCAGTATCAGCAACAGCCTCAACAACAGTATCCGGCTCATCAGTCACAGAATGCACCGCACAATGGATACAGTCAGCAGACAGGGCCTCCACCTTGGCAGGGTCCCCCGCCATCCTCTTATGCACCAGCGCCAGCTGCTTATGCAGCGCCGCCAGCCTCTTATCCCGCGGCGCCATACTCTTATGCAGCGGCGGCAGCACATGCTGGGTCTGGTCAAGGCCCTGTGGCAGCGGTTGCCCGTGACTTGCTGCAGTTTGAGACAACAGGACAGGTGAGCTCAAGGAGCGCACAATCCAGTGTGAAAGCAACGGTTCCGCATTGCATTGAGACAAGCACGCCTCTGCCAGCATTGAGTGTCAACTGCTCATTGACTTTTAGACTATCTGGGGGATGCATATTCTTGATATATGAAACAAAGGGTCAAATGCATTGGCGGGGGGCAAGAAGAGTGCAAGGATCTCATAGTATGCTTAGGCAAGACAGAAGCGGCACGTCTCTTATCTGTGTCATAGAAGAGCCACAGAGGTGTCCTGCAAAGGGCAAAGTTTCCTCTACTGGACTTTTGGATGGGGCTAGTCCAAGCTTGTGAAGGCTAGGCCAACCTTCTGCCCTGTGCGTGACAGAGTGTAGAATCCCTTTTAACAATACAGCTATTTCGTCCACCACTGCTAATGCGAGCACTTTGAAAACTCAGGCCTTAGCAACTAAAGTGATTGGCTGCAGGTGCCGGAGGGGCTCAGCCGCAGCGTAAAAGCCGCCAAGGGCACTCAGGCGCTTTGGTGAGTTAACTGGTCCATAACCCTGGGTTAGCGACCTGGTTAAGCACCAAATCAACACCGCGGGATAGCCCCATAGTGAGTAGACTCGAGAGACAGAATTTTATGAGTGGAACAGCCAGATATGGCTCATGCTTTCCTGCCACAAATTTACAGCAGTGATACTAAGAACCTTGAGAGGGCTAGCAGGACCCCCTCATGGGCCAGGCCCTATTAAATTTTGGCTCCGCTCAATCATTTCTTCCCTTTCAGCTTTCACTTTTCGAGTCTTGGTTTTTCTCTCCCTCAACAACGTCCTACTGCCATCTCTCTTGTTACTTTGTGATTCAGAGCTCTGTCCCGCTTCTCATCTTTCCAATCGTGATGCCATCTCTGGAGATTTGTCTAATTTGTGTTCTCGTTCCTTGTGCAGGTTCAAAAAGCTGCTTGAGGCGTGGAAGGCCCGGTGGCCGCCACCTGGCACCCCCGCTGACCTGGCCACGTTCATACGAAGCAATCTCAGTACGGTCCCAGGCAAGGAGCTTCATGTGAGGTTTCGCTTCCAAAGGAACTTTTGCATGAACGAGTCCGGTGTTGAGAGCTTCCTGCGCAGAGTCAGGGATAGGAAGGATGTTTCGATTGGAAGTCAGTCCGTATATATATCTTAGTCTGCAAAACCCCGATCCCCAAAAGATGATTCCTCTTGCAAAGATGGATTCCTGAAGATGAGTCCTTGTGCAAATCCATCTCACAGAAATAGTCTGAGTCCTGTGCTAGCAAGACTCTCTGGGGCGCTCGACTCGCAGTTCAATCGATTGTACGACTTGAGGGGACCCCAAAACACCCGAGGCTCTTCAGTAGACGAGTTCGATGTTTCCACTCCCACAATCGAGAACGGCCCATCGATATTTCGACCCATTGCCATTTTTCTGCACATTTGCGCAATTGCAGGGGTTGCTCGGGTTCTACGACCTTCTAAACATTGCCCCGGACTCGCAACCGGCCCCCGTCCCCCACTTCCCTCCGCCCGTCTCTCACGCGCCGCCCCCAAACGCCGCCCACCTACCGCCAGGGGTGCAGTACGAGTTCCACACCATGCCAGTAAGTGAATTCGATCCAACAGACGCGTATTGAGTTCGCAAGTGATGTCTCAATATCATTTCCCCTTCTGTCCAGCTACGGAATTCGAGCGCAGCCTTGTTCGAGGATACTTTCTGAATCAAATCATCTTGACTAACTCAGAAAGTTTACACCATCTGCTTTTGGATCAGATGTTGTATCATGTGGTCTCATGGAGAAGGTGGGTGGGTCTTTCTTGCGGAGGCAACACCGTAGCCGTTTGCCGTTGTCAGCATACCCTAATTGGGTCTTGCGTTTGATTGAGTCCTCCCCTTTAATCTGTTCTCCTAAGCACTCAGATCCAACGTTCCGACCCTTCACAGGTTGACGCAAAAGCAATTGCGGATGGCGATACCGTCACCGTATACGTTGACGTCAGCCATGACCCGCGCGAGGCCGCGGTCGTTCCGCCCGCCGTTCGGACGTCCGTTGACGCCCGGCAGAGGGCACGTGCCGTCCGCGACTTCCAAACGGCGGACCGGTTGCAGCGCGAGATAGGGGACGCGGGATACCGGGTGTTTGACGATGGGGGTGTGCTTGCGAAGAAATACAGAATACGGGCCAGGTAAGGAGCAAGAGAGGAGAGAGGTGAAGCTGAGAGGAGAGCAAGTATCTTAGGGTCGTGGCCGTTGTTGTCTTCTCTGGAAGTGGGCGCAGGGTAAGTGCTTTCAGGAGGGTTGGCTTGCGAACAGGTACCGTGTAGGGGCTGGGTAGGAGTTCGTTGCGATTGGTCCTAAAAGTGACGAAAAAGGAGCTCTGATATGAAATGGTGGGACGATACGATGGAATTGTTAGAAATGCGAGCAGCCCTTTGTCGAGCTCCTTTCCGGCACAGACAGTGGGAGGGTAAACGATTTCTGCAGGTCGGAAACATTTTCAATTGCTGTCCAGTTCAAAATTTGAGCTGGGCGCCTACGCGGTCCAAGTTTGCAGGTTTTGAAAACAATGTTTTGGCACCGGAGAAGATGTTCCGACACACCCATGGGACTTCACCAATGGGTCCTGCAGGGACTTGGACGGCCTTTGTGAAAAACCGCGCGTGTCTACCCATGACTAAACAAAGATACCTTCATCTTGAAGAGCAGATTCCTTGATGAAGTTTGTAGGCGTCCTGGAAAAAGTCAACGCGCGAAGAACGCTGACTTTCCACGAGGACAGAATCGCCAGAGCCCGCAGAATGTTTCTTGTCGTTGTTTGGACTTGTCGTCTGGACGAGTTGCGAAGAGCTGCGAAGAGCGACAGACTCCATCCAATCAAAAGGCTGCTAAGGTAAGTCTGGATCAGAGGGCCTTCCGCCTTCCAATCGGACGCAGCGAACTGCGGATAGCAGCGTCTCTTAGAGAACCTGAATCATCTGACGTCACGCTGGCGTCACTCTGCAGGGGGATCGACGCGCCAGAGAGCAAGCAGCGGTACGGCCCCGAGTCGGGGGCCGCGTTTCGGGCGCTCGTCGAGGGGCGGAGCCTGCGGGTGCTTATTTACACCACGGACCAATACGGGCGGTCCGTGGCGGACATGTACTGTGGGAATGTGTTCGTTCAGGTGAGGGGCCTCTGAAGATGTGCCCTAATTTGATTGCTGCGCCCTTCCGCAAAACTGCTCTTTGAACCTTTCACGGCACGTTTCCGGTTTGAGCACCCCGTATCGGACCTGTGCATCTGGACCGCATTACGTGACTCGTCAGATGCTGATTTGCGTTGTCAATGAGCTCTTTGTGCTGTGCCGGTCTTTACGGATTTTACGGGATTCGGATGTGCGGTTTTGACATGGGCGCCACGCCCGAGCCGCTGAGACGCCACACGTGCCTCTTATTTCAACCTCGCCCGCGAAATTTTCCGATCCATACCACAGCTCTTCTCTACCTTGGGGAGCCCCTACTGTTGGTCTACAAGCTACTGGCTTCGGGGTGTTCAGTACTAGGTCGTTCCTCAGTCGTCTTCACGAAATGGGACAAGCTGAGGACTTCGGTGTAGCGCCGCCGAGGGTAAGCTGTGACTAGAATGCGTGACTGCTTAGTCGAGCTGAACCACTCCACGTTGTTCTTTGGGAACCCCTGACGTGGGGCTGACGTCGGCATGGCGTCCGGTCTGCAGGAGTACATGCTGCGGAACGGGCACGCGTGGCACTACTCGACGTACGACCACCGGCCGGAGTTCGCGCAGGTGAGCAATGGCAATGCGACACGTGGCAGCCTGGGATTACAGCTTCGATCGGCGTAGAACAAATGTATCTAGAGGCAAAAGGTAAAGAAAGAAATATGAAAATCCATCTCAACTCTGATTAATCTGATATCTGATCATGTCCGCGACGGAAAGCGAGATTGAGCGGACTGCTTTTTTATCTGGACTTCTCTCGAGGACAGGCTTTATCTTTCTCGCCGCATCTTTAGAGGCTGCATTTGAACGTCAGACGGGCGCAACGTTGGAAGGACTCTCGTAACTGTTGACATCATCGAGTTTGATGAAGGGGCGTATCTTCCGAAGTTTTGGGCGAACCGGAACGGGTCTGCTTCTTGAATAGCCTCTCCGCGCTATCATACCAGAGAACACCTGTTCTCTAATCTGCCTCTCTTCTGAAGGTGTTTGACGGTGTAAGCACGCTTTACCCGCTTTCACCCCACACATTGGGCAAATTTTCCTTCCGCAAGAATCATATTAATTTATAAAACCGTTCCACTTTATAGCTTTGATTGGAGCGCTTTGTTCAAGAAGTCCATCACCGAATCTCCGAATCGTACTCAGGGGCAAATCCTCGAGTGTATTTTGCAGTGGATGGCTGAGGCGAGGCAAGCCCGGCGCGGGCTCTGGGCGGACCCTAGCGTGCAAGAGCCGTGGATTTGGCGAAAGGAGCATCCAAGAGCGGGTAGGTGATAGGAGTGAAATGTCGTGTTGCAAGTTGACGGAAGAAGGAGAAGAGAGCGACTGGTAGGTAGGACGGCGACAAGGGCCTGTACCTCGAGTCAGCCAAACTGTTAACTGGAACTGTTTCGGTCATTCACGAGAGTCTGCCAAACCGTTAACGGGAACTGCTTGGGCCATTGGCACTGGAGTCTGCCAAATTCTGAACTGGAACTTTTGGGGTCATTCAGTGGAGTCCGTCAAAGCGGAAAGTTTGGGCCATTCTTTGGAGTCTAGCTTAGCTATTTTTTGCCGGTGCAACGGGTGGTGAACGTCCACAATTGAATGTCCATGATCAAGGACAGCCTGGAGAAAGATTCTTGGAATCGTGATTTTCAACGGTGGTCGGACCAGACGCGGTATTGAAAAACAACTAGGCCAGATGCTTTTGAATAGTCTGTCGATGCCTGCCAGGTAGATCACGTCCGAAAATAAAGTGTGCATGTTGCATACGGTAGGTGTGAGTCACGACTCACGATTACAACACACAGTGCCTGACCAAGCGCAGTGGCTTCTCGTTGCTGGCATATGTTTTCAACACTGGCCGGAGTCCCGTGAGTCCAATACCTGCCGTCACGGGCCATGCATGATGCATGATGGGTCCAGACTTCAGGACCTCATTCGAGGACCTCATTCGGGGATTCAAGGTGGGTCGGCCTCGGTCTACCGTCTATCTTTAATAGAGAGAGTAGATACTGGTACGTACAGTATCTACCAGATTCGTCGTACATCGTTGACAATCGACTGTCGTTGACCACGGTACTGACCAGAGTACCTAGAATAGGTAGGTTTACCGTTTGTCGAAACTCCGCACTTCACTCCGAGTAAACCGGTTTGCTGTCCCTCCTCGCCCGCGTTGCTGCCCTGCGGCATACCTGCGCGGTAGTGTCAAGTCTCTTATAAGATTCAAAGGCCCCGGGGCCCGGGCACTCCAACTGAAAACACAACCCTAAAAGCTTACCCGCTCCGGTAACGGCAACGTAACGGTTCACTAAGATTCGGCAGCCCCGGGCACGTAAACCTTAAACACTAACGTAAAAGCTTACCCGCTCCTCATCACTACCCACCCAAACCAACCCTACGTGACCCGTTCCCCGGGCAGTGGACCTACCGGTAACACCTAGGAAATCCCGGCCTGCGAATCAATAATATCGACATCCTGATCGGGGATCTGCGTACAACTGGCAGTCTGAAGTTTGAACTCTGTAGGGTCCCGGAGGGTCCGGAGGACCGCGTCAGCAACAGCCTGGATAGACAGCGGAGCTGCGGAGCTCGTAAATGCCCAATGCAGGCCCAATGTGAGAGTCTGAGCCTCTGAGGAGTGTGCACATTATGTATGGTAGAAATAATTACTGACACTGTGCACATTGAATTTTGACACTCTGCAATGCAGTGTGCACACTGAACCTGTGGACATGGACGTCAATACCTACGGTACCTACTGAACTGAACCTGCCATAGAACTTAGAAGTTGATAGAAGGCTAGCTGCATCCTGCACTTTTGATCGTGGGCGTGAGCCTTTAATAACGTACTACCTAGGTAATACACGAACCAATCCATGCGGAAGGAAGCGTTCGGGAGGTATTGCTACTTAAGTCGTCCTTGCAAAGCATTTTGCAGTACCCGCACTGTTCATTTCCTTGAAGATAGCTCTCACTCAAGCTTCCCGCATTGCACCAAATATCGCTCTGCGTCGATCAGCGGAAGCATGGCTCCCCTCCGTTTGTTCCTCGTGCTCTCTGCGGCCGTTCTTCTGGCAACAGCTGCCCCGAGCGGAGGCGCTGCGTTGCGCCAGCGAGGCGCCGCTTGCAGCAAAGAGCGTCCTTTGAATCAGGTGGGCAGCAGCTTTTCACCTTGCTTCTGTTGTTCTGTATAATGCAGTTTTGGGTTTTGCTCTCTGATGTTCTGAAAGCGCTCTTTACGTGGTTGCAAATCTGATTGAAACCCTGAGGCATGGTCCTGCACACTTCAAAGTCCCAGCTTGCCGAGTCAAAATACTAGAGGGGTACATTATTCTGAAATTATGCTTTTCGAACCATGTCCATACCCATGAGTCTGTAGCGGCAACGCAAGGAGCTGACACCCTCAATCACATAACCATGATCCAGACTTGGGAAACCCTATTGATCAGAGCCATGTAGAATCTAACTTCAGCACTGCAGCAAGCAATGTATTCGTAAACAGTCCGCCAGACTTGTGCAGATGCTTTGACACAAAATCAAGGGGCTTCCAATCTCGAACCAAGGGGGCTTCAACATTGTAACCACACAGCTTGTTGTGTCAGCCTCGGTCCAGATTTCGACTTGCAAGCCCAGACCTAATTGCTTGCTTTTCCTTTTTCCTACTTGGGCCTGCTTCAAGTGAAGCAACACTTGTGCTTTCTGTGCTGCTGACTCTTCTTGCCCAAACGCTTGCAGACACTATTTCGCTCAGCATCGCTGGAGTGCCCTCACAAACCCAGGCTGTCAATGTGGGCTACCAAACCACATTGACTTTCACCGTCACAAACACCGGTAAGCCCCTTGGGTTAAGCAAACCTCCACAAGGGGGCTGTTGCTTGCATGTAATCCTGTTGCTTTCATTTCCTGTTGCTTTGATCTGCACCGTGCTGCTCCCCATGTTGTGAGTACTGCTTGCATTGGCACCAGATTGAGATTCTGGGGAACAATGTCGATGCGTCTTGATTTCCAACTGCATGCTTGTGCTGATCTCCCTACCCTGCACTGCCTTTCTTCTCACATTCATGAAGCAAAGATTGGAGGTCATTCTTAACAATCCCTAAAAACCTGACAGTTATGAATCTTTTGCTCCTTGAAGAAGTATTTCCATTTCCTTTCTTGTTCTCATGATTGGCCGGACTCCAGCAGTCCTACTTGAACCCGGGCCCTTTCCCAAAGTTGCCAAAGTTCCCCCCCAAACATAAATCTCCCTCAAGTCCTCCTTGAGAGACTGTGGTTAACGTATATATTAACCCCAAATTTGCTGTTGCCCAAATCCACTAGTACTCTGCCAAAACTCTGCCCTATCCTCGTTATACAGACAGCCAGGCTGCCGTCGTCGACAAGCTCATCTCGATTTCGGCTACGTCCGCCGGGTTTTCATGGTCCCTCTCCCAGTTCGTGTCAACCGTCCCGTTCTTCTTTGCGCGGAACGGCCCCGGCTCAGTGACTGTCTCGCTAGCCCAGTTCCCGCCCGGGGCGAGTGCCCAGTTCTCCCTGGTGCTGACGGCGTTCCGAGTGAATCTGTCATCAGACCTGGCCTTCATCAGCGGCGCCGACGTGCAGATCTTTCTTCCGCAAGTCAAGGCCGCAGGTGGGTTACCGCTCATCTAACAATAGCTTAACCATAGCTCATTCTAGCTCAAGAACAGCTAAACTGTTTTCGACTCTCTTGTGTCTGCTCAATGCTCTCTTGTCACTAGAGTATCAGGATGCCGTGCGGAAGCTACGCTCGTTTTAATTCCGCGTTGCTCTTTTTCCAGCGGCTCTCGTTTTGAGCAGATTGCATGATTGATCGTTCTTAGCATGAATGCTGGCATGTTTGTTGCCAGCCTGTGAGAAGTCGGTTTCTAGACTGACTGCAGCAAGTTTGATCGCAGATAAACAACGGATTTGTAAGCAAGTCGTGCTGTATCTAGAGTAAAGACGAAACATAGAAGACGATTTGCGAGCTATTTTCGGCCGGATACTAAGAAGCTCGTCTTCTGTAATGTAGATCAGGGCGTCTGCGGGAGTGGACCCGCCACTGACTTCCCCCTCCGCTGCTATTACAACAACGATCCGCAGGTAAGTCTAGATGCTGGCACAAAATGGAGTCACCTTTAATACGGATCTGTTTGAAGAAGTGGTCAAGCTATTGAACCGGCGCGTTGCCTGCATTCTGTAAGTCTGGTGGACGATGTTTCAGGAAGGATAGCCCCTTGTAATACCTGACCCAAGTCGAGGCTTCGCTGCTGAACTCGAGGCTGTTTTTGGATCAGAAAGCATGGTGGTGCGCCAAAAAAAAATTCACCTTTTGACTTCTCAGTACTCGGTGTGCTTTGAGGACTGAATCTCATGCCAAATGTTCCGCCTCTGGCAAGCTACGAAGCGCGCAGACACTTGTGGTAGCATTGAAGTGGAACGAAGGACGCCTGCCTTCTTCATCAGGGGATCCCTCTGGATGCTTGCACTTCGACATTTGGTGGAGCGCGTCAGATGTCGCTCACGAACTCGGAGTTGCAAAACAAAGAGCTTCTCCTTTCACCTCAGATGCAGGAAAGTCCTCTGGCACAATTGGGACCCACGTAACTTCAAAATTTCACAAACCCCTTACATATTCGTCAAAGAAGCCCTCAAGCACAGGGGTTCAAAGTTCCAGAACCTCACAAACCCTTTCTCTCCCCTCAGGGCCGCTACTTGCGCTGCGACAACCAGGGCTGCGCTGGGTTCACCTCCCCGGAAACTTCTTCCCGCGCTGCGCCACTAACGGGTTTTACTTAACTTCAGAACCTCACAAACCCTTTTTCCACTCGTCAAAAAGGCCCTCGAGCACATGGTTTGAGCTAACAAACCCGTTTTTCCCTTTTAGGGCCGCTACGTGTGCTGCGACAACGAGGGCTGCGCTGGGTTCAACCCCCCACAAAATTTCGTCCCGCGCTGCGCCAACAATGGCTTCGTTCCCACTCTCACTCAGCCCCCTACCCCGACACCTACCGCTACCCAGCCTCCGCCGGCTACCCCTTCCCCTACCCCGGCCTCTACCCAATCTCGGGCTACCCCTTCCCCGACCAGACCCAGTAAGCACCGAAACCCTGGATACTCGGTTTTGAGACCTGGAACGTTTGCACAATTGGCAGTTCAACGTGCCGCTCGGTTCCTGTGTTGGCGTGCAGAGATGCAGAGCTTACGATTCAGCTTTTTTATCAGACTTCGAATCCGACTTCACCGGGTTGGCTCTCGGAGATGTCAGATTGGCCCCCTCTTTCGACTCTGCTGCATCCGTAGCGTTACATTGACACGGTCTAGAGCGAGACGTTTCCGTTCTTCCACCACCCTCTTAAAGCTTGTACGACATCAGAGTTGGAAAGCTCAGACTCCGCTACTTCAGGGGGGCGGATCGAGTTCCCTCTAAAGACTTCTTTCTTCGGTTTCTTGAAACGACCTTCTTTTCGGAGTGCCCAACTTCGGGACACTCACACACAGGGGGGAATGGCTTTCTCCTCCGGGGGGTACAATTCTCCCCAAGAGCCCACGTCCAGCAATCAGTTTCGCAAGCGCAACCAACTCTCTAAAACATTTCGTCATCCTTTCTGCAGCTACGATCAACTTCCCCAAGGACACGCCCTGCCCGGTCGTGGGCGGCTTTGCGGCCAACAGCTGCTTCGACGCGGCCGGCACCTTCCACGCGTGCTGCGAGAACCCCGACTCGTGCGGCGCATTCAAGGCCAATGGGGACCCCACGTGCGCGGCCGGCAACTACCTGTCCCTGCCGTAATTGCTTTTGTTTGGAAGAGTAGGTAAGCTCGAAAGAGAACCTCGCCAGGCGGGACGTAGAATGTAGTAATCCTGAGAGGCACATGCGACTCGTAACTCCGAGCATCGACTTAGGAAAGATCGAGTTAAAACACTAATTGAAGGAAAGTGAGAGGGGATTTATACATTCTGGATAGACAACTAAGCATAAGGAGAGCGGGTGTTCTGACCCCACCCAGCTACTGAGGTTTTGAAATGGACACAATCTAATTTAAAGTCCGTTTACTAGCTGAGCTACTAGTGAACACTTCTAATAGGCTATCGAGTAGTAAGGAGCGGTCCGTCTAACTCCAGCCAGCCGCTACGATTTTCGAGCCGCACCGACTTTGATGTCCGCTAATCCTAGCTGAACAGGTTGGACGTTTGGTAACACATTCACACGTAGTAAGTAGTCCCTAAGTTTTGCCTCCGGCGGCCTTTTATGGATCTTGACTTCGGAACCACACTTCGTGGGATGTCCAGTTTAAAGAGATGGTACATCGATAAAAAATGAAACCAACACGGAATCAACCGTCTCACGACAGTGTGGCGGGCACAGAAGTTTTGAAGATTATTGATCGCCACATGCTTCGCGGTTAGTATGCCCTTTTCCCCTCTGCCTCTGGGGGCCTGAAGATGCTTCTCAGAAAACAGCTGCATCGTGCAAAATCGATGACATGATGTATCCAGCTAAGAGTTATTGATCACGTGTATAACAAGGATCGATTAATCAAGTGAGGCTGCATGGCAGACAATCTCCACATACATGCGTTAAAAACGTCAGAAAACGGTGATTGAACGGCTGGAGAAGAGTGAAGCCGATGACTGCAAACAGATAAAAGCTCTCATAATGCATAGCCTTTCAACTCTAGTTGTGGAACGTTGAATTGCATCAGCAGCTCCATTTCCACGACTCTTGCACGCTAGGGTCCGCCCAAAGGCCCGCGCTGAGGTTGTCTAGCCTCAGCCATCCAGTGCAGCGTGAACTCAAAAGTCGTCTCAAGAGTTTGCCTGTGAGATGCAATCGGGCGCCGATATGAGACGGACTTCGAAAACCGAAGCGCTCCAATCAGCGCTTGGAACCTGGAAATCGCGCTCCAACGAGCCACCTTTTCGCGGCAACGACGCTTGCCGAAACGGGAGGTGAAAGCGAGCAAAGGGTGCCTGTGATTTTCGAAACACGAATCAAGAAGCGAGGAGAGGACCAGAGAACAAGACCTTCTCGATCGGTCAAGTGTCCAAGCGAGTGGCGGTTCCGCTTTCTCCTGTGACATTTAGAGAAATTTCCTCTCTATTGATCAAAAGTGCTCGACGTTTCTGCGTTTTCCACTCACATCAAGCGTGCGTATCCTCCGTTGATGCACTTACAACGCAAGGCTGCCACGTGTCGCTCTGCCATTGCTCACCTGCGCGACTCCGGCCGGTGGTCGTACTTTAAGAACTGCCCCGCGTGTCCGTCCCGCAGCAGCATGCACTCCTGCAGACCGGACGGTATGCTGACGTCAGGCCCACGTCAGGGGTTCCCCAAAGTAAACGGCGCAGCGGGTCGACTGGGGTAAGCAATCACGCACACGTGACGTCTTGCCTCGGCTCGGGCGAGGCGCTCACGTCCAAAAGTACGTCAGGATGACGTGGGACCCGTTACAAAAGACGGAGATCGAATCTATGATTTGAAAACAAGCCAGCATCTGACGACTTACTTTCTGCAGTCCAGAGGGTTTGATTAGATACGGACCTTTTAGACGGGGCCAGCAGAAACAATGTCCACAGAGCAGTCTTTTGGAACTGATTGGAGACGGACAGGTCGCAGCAATCGATTGAAAGCGCACTTCATCAGACGCCCCTCACCTGCACGAACATGTTCTCACAGTAAATGTCCGCCACGGACAGCTCGTATTGGTTCGCAATGTAAATAAGCACCCGCAGGCTCCGCCCCTCGACAAGCTCCCGGAACGCTTTTGCCGACTCGGAACCGGGACGCTGCTCGCCGTCCGGCGCGCCGAGCCCCCTGCAGGGTAACGCCAGCATGACGTCAGCGCCAGAGGCAGGCTCTCAAAGTAAGGACGCTGCTGTCCTTACTTCGCTGGATCTGAGTTGCGGGGGATGAGAAAGCGTCTTGACACACAAAAATTCGTTGCTTTGGTACTGTTCTTGGTCTGTTGACCCTCCGAGTCGCTTCTTCCCTCTGTTTCTCAACGAGTTGCGTTTCTGGTAGTCGTATTACAGGTTTTGAAGGGCGTCCAAACGGATAGAAGCGCGAACGTCGAGTGGCTTCCAGTAGGATCTTTGGTTTCCAGAGCAGACCGGACGAGTTCACCGTTATCATAACGGTAGTACGGAAATATTGGGACTGAGGTGCCCGCTAGGACTCTCCCGGCGCTACAGTCAAACGGGGGCGTGGCATTACATCTCGACATAGAAGCGCTAGCCCGAGCTTGCGCTGGTGAGCATTGGTACTAGAGACATAGAGCGACGCGTGACAGCTTTGAAATTCATGGGTCTGAGGATTTGGGATTTCTCCGCTCTCAATCACCTACTTTAGTCATGTCGGGTCACGTAAGCGAAGTCCAGACGACCAGTACTGGTCGAATGTCCGTTTCTTCTGGTGAACGTAGACGGCCGAAAAGTCTTGTTTGATGGACACGCTTGACGTCCTTTTCTTTTCGATCTTTTGCTAGCGTCTTGATTTACGAAAGTGCGAACTAAGCGAATTCTTCTAGACACGCAGAAAGGCAACAGGATCTGAATCCTGGGTGGAGGAGTGCACATTCAGGACATTTGAGCAGCCTGAAGAGGGCGCTTTCGCTTTGGAAACCAAGTCCGTTTTCACTTCGCTGAGATGTATCTGTTCTTCAACAATAATTTCTGCTTGTTAAACGACCAATAAGATTCCAGCAACCCTCGGTTTGTTTTCATCTCGCATTACAGGCAAGTTTCGTTCCCCTTTGATTAGATTTCAAAAGTCGTCTTCAATTTCCTGTCACGTTTTGCTTTCGAAGTCCGTTTTACGTCCATTTTCAAGACGAAGGTCCCAAGTCATTCTCATGTACAGAATTTTGATCAACCGTAACATACATCAGATTTATTACGTCCGTTTTGCAATGGATATCTGAGGCAAGTCCGGTGCAATTTTTGAGCGGGATTGGCTTGCAAGAGCGGTGGAATCGGTGGAAAGAACAGTACACGACTAGGCCTTTTTCGTTGCGAGTCCACAGAAAAAGGGACTGGTAGGTACAGATGCTACTCTGGGAATTCAAGGAACGAGGTAAAGTTGTTACGAAAGAAGATGCGCGCGAGCACATGCATCAAAATACCTCGAGGTTGCACGCAAAGGAGGAAGATAGCTCCTATTGCAGGGACAAGCTCCAGCTTAGATAGGGTAGGACGCATTTACATGCCGTACTTATGTTGCTGATTTTAACTCACAACGAAGGTTCCAAATGGTCAGAGAGCAACCAGAAAATGACACTGTAAGTATGCGGGAGCCCATTTCACCATTTGAAATTTTGGTGCCAGGTACGTTGAACGGCCTAAGCTTGCCCAAGTCTTTGTCTTCTACATGATTGTACGCATGCGTTATTTGTCCTGGCAGATATTTCAAGATTTTTCCATTGTCAGTCTTCCTTCCTCAGTACCAAACAACCAATCAAGCTCCTCAGGAGAACGGTCCATTTCATCGTTGCAGCAGGCGTGCTGCAAATAAATCAATGCAACAACTATCAGCACGCGCTACTTTTCTCGAGTACTTTGCCCAAGGAATTAAAAGTCTGCCAATCAGCTTGGTTGTTAGGGACAGTGGCCACCTGTCAAACTTCACACGCACACTAAGAACATCACAGAAGGAGAGAAGCCTTTATGATTGAAACACCACTTGATCCAACCTTGATACAAGCCAATTGTTTAACATATTATATCTCTGTCTGACCCGCTCGGCTGGATCTGAGATCTTACATCGAACCCGAAGGCCTCCTGCTGCCTGATCACGTAGAGCAGCGTCACTCCGAGACGGTGCATGCGCGTGGGGAATTCCTGCAGGAGGTGTCGAACGAGACTCGGACTTCTCAGATTCTCTCCCTTCCCCTACACTCCGTCTAATCCGTTTCCCAGCTTTGTGGCAAAGGTGCTATGGCACATGGCAGCTGCTTAACAACCATTCGCTAGACCGGGCAGGGAGGTAAGTCAGGAGCCAGATAGAAGAATCACTTCAGGCACAGACCGCCATGAAGGTCCCAGTCAGTTCATAACAGCCGCAAGAGTTAAATTGAGTCAAGGACAGCCTGAGGCGAGGCGGTTGGAAGCGTCCTAGTAGCGGATATGGAGTCTAAAGTATGAGGTCGTTTCCTTACTTATCCACTCGTGGCTTCAGGACCTATATGTCCTTCGACTATTAATCATAACCCGGTTTAAGAGCGTTAAAAGAATTGAGAGCGTTAAGAGCGTTCAAGAGCAAGTCTGGCTGAAAAATCTGGTTTTTACGAGCAGGAGCGTTCTTGATCCTGCCTTTAGAAATGAGAGCAAAGCGTTCTGAAAAGTCCGGTTTTTAATGATCAACCCGTCCTGATTTCACTTGCCGCCCTTAAAGCGCCTTCAAAACGGGTTACGATTCATACTAAATTCCTACTCTGCTTGAATTCTCACCTCTGCTTCCATTTGCGGAGGGACTGCCAAGCTCCCCAGGAAAGCCCTGTAACCTGCCTCGAGGCCTTGTTGGGAAAGGACCTTGACCGGCTCGTCCACCGTCCAGTTGTTTTCCACTGCCATCCGCGCCTTTTCCTTCAGTACTTCGCTCAGATCCGTAACCGGCATCGCCTCCGCCACTTGTGATTGCTCATCGAGGCGCGCATAGGTCTCCTTGATCTTGTAAGGGTCCTAGTCCTGAAGATGCAACAACAGCGTTCTGCTGCGGGTTAAACGGGGGAGGTTCATTTGAGGTTCCGCGCTGATGGAAGGCTTTCCTGGAAAGTTTCGAGCAGCGCTGGTACTTGATGTGCTTTGAAAACGTTCAGCAAAAGCAGCGTCTTGCAGATACACTGTCCTCAATAAGCATTCGCCAGTCAACATGTGCCTGATCTGCAACAATCATAATCCTTCCAAGCTCAGGTCTAGACGAAAACTGCTTCTTTCGTATCGAAGCAAAGGAGCTATCAAGCTCACACAGGATGCTGCATCCCTGAGGGCAGCAAGAATCGACGCAGTCGTTGGCACCTCTCCAGCGTTTGCATTGCTTGGGCCCGCCTGGTCTCCTTGAGTTGTGTTATCAGGAGCCTGTGTCATCGATCTTATGTTCAGCATATCCCTAGCAGGCTGATTTCGCGCAGAGCAATAACAACTGATTGCAAAGGAGATGATTTTGGAGAGTTTGTTGGGGAAGGTCAAATAAATCCATGCTTTTAGAGACCACAATGTTGCGTCGCCAGCATACCCAAGTCCACAGAATCGACTCAAGAAAGACGAGTAAGGCAGTTCAGATAGGACCCACTTGGTAGGATTTTGGAGCAGAAGGTCACGAAGGTGCTTGAATCATGCTTCCGTCGTAGGAGGTGCAGAAATGCATTTCACAGATCAATGACACTTTGAGCTTATCACCATATCATGCGTGCTTGATACTGGCAGCTTGCACACTAAAAGCGGCGAGCAGACTAAGATGGTTCAAGCCTCTCCAAAATTCTAAGTCCTCCGATTTCACGAGTGAAGCTCGTTTAAGGAGACTCCTGTACGTCAGTTTGGGAATTTTTCCAAACGATCCCCTCAACACATCTAGGAAAGCCGTACCTGCTGATCCGAGGTGTCGTCTGCCATCACCAAACAGGCACCAAACGACCCTTTTCCGCCTCCTCAGCTTTCGCCGCTGCACTCGATGTTACATATGACGGGCTGTCCTGGCTGCTCAGGTCAATAATCCTCTCAAAAGTTCAACTTTCAAGTTAAAACAGGGGACGGGATCAACGCGCGCACTCTGCATGAGACAAGCTCCTGTGGAACTGAATTGGGTCATTAAAACTAGCCCTTCTACAAACTTCCCTGCTTCGCCCAAACGATTTGGCACGTCCGCCTCCTCATCCCGAATTGAATCCGCCTATTAATTGAGCGCGCGTCCGTCGGCCCGGCGCGGCCGGCCTTGACTTACACACGCGTCGCGCGGCCGCGAGCCCTGGTTTGAGGGTTTGTACGCATCTGATGAATTTATGCGGCATCAAATTGCGCGCGCGTACGCAGGATCATCGGATGAACGTGATTCAATGATTTCAAACCCTGTGAGGCTTGCGGTCGCGCGGCCGCGCGGCGCGCATAAAGGGTCAGGCGCGCGGGGTCCGGCGGTAGCTAGCCGGCTGGTTGCCAAGTAAAACGCATTTTTGAGGTTGACGATGCGATCTAGACTAGCAGGATGACTTTACGTCCGGTAAAAGGTCCGGAGAAGGCGCAACTGTGTTCGAAGAGGGCGGCGGGCCGGAGAAGGGCTGCCTTTATTTGACTCCAGCTTCATTCCCCGGTTTAAAAGGAGCTTGCTTAGATGTGCGGGCGGACGGTTGACTCTCTCAATATTTGGTCTTGAAAGCTTAGCTTTGTAGCATGACCGCCCCCCATACCTCTTTTTTCCTACCTTCGACTTGCCGGGACTCGGTGCGACCAGTGGTGCAATGCCAAGGCCACTGCGCATCCAGTAAGGATCTGAATCAAGGGACTCGCCCGGACCAAGGTCGTCTGATGACTGATCAGATTTGCATGGTGCAGAACATCGAGCTGCAAGTCGTGCTGGAGAGTCTTCTCACACGTATATATACTCAATTTTCCGGTTTCATCATGAGCCATGAGTTGCAGTTGCCAGATCCTTCGTTTCCAGGCAGCGGATCCGTTCTCGTTTGGATCTTCTCCTAGCCTCCTTCTACTCACTGTGTACAAACCATGCGAGCTGTCAATTAATTTTGTGGGATTTGCTACGTGATTGAAGCTTATTTGAATCCAATTTTCCACTTCACAACCCCGGCCACTTTCAGAAATTTAGAAGAGCGAGAGATGACACGAATGTCACGCTCGTAACACGTACTGACTCGAAAGACTTCCATCTTGACTCTATCAACATACTATTCTATCCTCGGAAGGACATCTCAGGGCTCCTCCTCAGTACCGAGCTCCCAGTCGAGCTCCCCAGGGAAGCGGTCCAATGCTTTATGGCACGAGATGTCCTGCAAAAGCGTCGATGCAACATGTAATAGCACGAGTAACAACGCAACCGAGTGGGTGATAACGTCGATGACCCAAGAGTCGAAAGAATTGCCGACAAGCTGGTTGTTGGTCAGAACAACGGTGTCGCGTTTCAGACTTCAGCGCACACTGACCCCGAGAAGATCGCGGGGAGAGAGGTGCCATTGTGGGTGCGAATATCACTTGATTGACAAGCTGTCACAGCCTGCCCTTTGTGGCATACAAGGGTCCAGTCTGCCACGCTTGACTGCGTTTGGAAGCTTACGCGGAATTTGAAGGCCTCCTGTTGCCAGAAGAAGCCGAGCAGCGAAACTCCGAAGGTGTGCATGCGTTTGTTAAACTCCTGCAAAAGAGTCGAAGGGTCGGGTTCCTCTCTCTTTCTTCTCCGTTTTCCACCAGATGCGTTGCAGACCCCTGTTCCACTGTCACGACTGGCGCTTAACCTTGTTTGAAGAGGTGTCTTTCAGAGCCGGACAGGAAGGTAAGCCAAAACCATGTAGTGAAGCACCCAAGGCACGGTGCACCACAACGTATCAAGAAGGTTCCAGAGAGAAAGAGCCGCAGATGTAAGAAGACTCACAGACAGGCAGTTTGAAGCCTTCTCGCAGCGCATATAAATTGTAGTCGCAGAATTTCTTCAATTTTTCAAATCAGCAGATTGTGGCCGCCTGCCTACCTCTGCTCCCATCTGCGGAGGGGTTTCCAAGGTCCCCTGGAAGCATCTGTAACAGGCTTCGAGGCCTTGTTGGGCGAGGACTTGGATTGTAGCGTCCACCGCCCACTCCTTGTCCAGCGCATCTGAGCCTTTGCCTTCAATTCCTCGCTCAGCTTGGCGAGCGGCATCGCGTTTGCGACTTTCATCTGCTCGTCGAGGCGCGCCAGAACCTCCGGCTTGACTAAGTCCGCCTGGGAAAATCTTGGAAGCGTCAACTTCTCTTCTGCTGGATCAAGCGGTGGCCCTGCCTTTCGAGAGTCTGATAAAAAGCTTTCTCAACGGAACGTTGCAAGTCGCGTTATTGTCGTCGTTTCAGACAGAAAATTCTCTCAAGAGAACGGTGCAAGCATCATAGTACGTTCTTGTCGTCCTCTGAAGTCGCTACGGCAAAAACAAAACTGTTCTTGCATGCACACGTTCATCTATTGAGGCAGTGCCGAGTTCGCCCAACTTGTGCCTGAATTTTAACGCTCGAACATCTTCAAGTCTGCAGGCCTGGAAGGGCTCTGCTGCAATACTCAGCAGACGTCCGAAGGCAATATCAAACGAACTGCAGCAAAAGCAGCATTGAGGCTCACTTGCTTTGTTGAAACCAGGAAGTCAGCAAAACTTGCCGCCGCTTCTGCCTCCGCGCAAGCGCTTGCATCGTTGCTTGGGCCCGCCTGGTTGCCTTCAAATGTATGTTCAAGGGCCTGTAGTATGCAGTACATGTTCAGCGTACTTACAATCTGTTCACACCTAGACTAGTTTGAAAGGAAAAATTGCAGAGCTTTGAAGCTGATGATTATGATGGAGAAAGTTCTGTTGCTGGCCATGCATCGAAACTCGGCAACGTTGTGAGTCGCAAAGCAAACCCAAAGCTCTTCTAATATCTGACACCTCAGTTAAGGATTCCTGAATTCTACAACTGGATCTGCCTTGGTATCTGAGGAAGAACGAAAAAAGCTCGCTTAAAATCGAAAGAAGCTTCTGAAAAGGAGGCAGTTCTTAAAATCAAAGCTCATCGTGCGTGCTTGATATCTCTTGGCTCCTTGCATACCCTATACTAAAGTTATAGCAGAGCAGAAGGTTTCAACCAACCTTCACAGCTCAACCCCGCCGGCTAAGAATGAGGCTGCATCTGCAACCGGAATTTGGAAAAACGCAGCTGGGCCCGCTGTAAGAAACTGACTATGGTTGAACTGGTCTTTCAGGAAAACACAAAACTCACCACCTGCTGAGCATCGACATGTGCCATCACCAGAGAATTTACTTTGGGCTCCTCAGCATGAGCACATGCGCGCGTTGTGACCTTGCAGCGCTCCCCCCAGCGCTCCAGGAATGAAAAGTAGTCAGTATTTGACGGGTTGCCCGGTCGACTGCTTCTGCTAAACGTTCAACTTTCAGAACCGCTGATACCGTAATCAGACAGACAAGCTTAGCTGCACAGCGAATTACTAGCATCTTCTGCCGCCTGAGTCCCGACGCGCTCATTGCAGGGCGCCCGGGCGGCGGCCGCGCAGCTGAACGCGCGGCGCGCCTTGGGGCAGCGCGTCGCGCGGCCCCGCCGAGGCGGGGAGGTCACGGTCACATCACATGTGACCACTGGATGAACCGTCGATCGCCACTACTTGAACATATTCGACGGTTCGATCGAAGGACGTCAAACCCCTCAATGTCAAACCTGGGCTTGCGGTACGTCCGATCCGACGCGGGCGCGTATAACCAGCGTAGGTGATCGACGCCGACGGACTCGATCGACGGTCGCGGCGCCTGCGCACTGTGCGACGCGTCTGATGTGCTGATGGTCGTTAGATCAGCAGGAGAAAGTACGGAAGTGTGCAGATAAGGATTTTGAACTTGGACGGCCTGCTTTGCTCATTTAATCTATCCTTAAAAAAGGTGCAATTGATCTGAAAGATCTCAATCTAGTCTCAATCTTGAAGGGAACGAGAAGGAGCAGCCGGGACAGCCAATCATACCACCCCTTTTTTTGACTCACCAGTGGTGCAGTACAAGACCATCGGCACACATCCAGGCGGAGGCGGAGCGAATTTATTTTGGTGATGGCGAAATGAGAGCGAGCTGCACGTAGTGCTTTTCTTGTGCTGGGAATTCTGACTCTCAAAGCCTCGATTCTCTCTGCCATGCGATTTCTTGCAGATGATCTGTTAGTAACTTTTTCAAGTTTCGCTGGGGGCTGGCGGAGTTGAACCTGTCGTAGGAAGCAGGCACTTCGAACTCAGAACAAACTTTTGCAGTTGAATGCATCTCGCCTCCTTTACGGAGGGCACAAATGCGAGTTTATTCGTGACCTCATTATATTGGAAGCTAGGCAATCCAGTTCTGGAGCTTTGGCCCAGCTGTCACACGCTCTAAGAGTAGGTATGCTGGTAATCCACTTAAATGCCCTGAGGGGCATGGCCATCTTTAGAGCTGTACCCACATCCCCTTTGCAGTGATCTATCATCATTGGGTATGCGTACCTTTTGATTCATATCACAGGCACCACTCAGTACAACTGGAGCCAATCAGACGGGCGCAAGCGGAAGCGCGAGTACTGGCAGCGCGCCAACAGAGGCGTCGGTCCGTGCTGCCCTCATGGCTGCACCAACCAATGTAAACCTCCCGTTGTTTTGCTTCTTTAACGCAATGATGCCTTGGGTTTCACGCTACTTAGGTATCTCAGCAGAGCGTCCAGGCCTGCAGCTGGAAGATTTCTGATTGTTACAGGTCAGGCACAATTCAGGCAGATGCCCACGTCCCTCCACATAAGTATGCACCTCGAAGGACACACTCGCTTCTGCTGACCGTCCAAGCTAATGACATCAGGAGCTTCCCTGAAAGCCTTCTACCAGCAACGGTTGCTAAGAACGACAGGGCCAGATAGAGCAGATACAGCAAATTTCCAATCGTTCTTGCCACGCTCCTTCAGGAGGACCAATTGGCAGTGAAGGAGACGTTAACGCGCCTCGACGAGCAATTGGAAGTAGCAAGGGCGATGCCGCTCGAGGAGCTGAGCGCCGCTGTGAAGGCAAAGGCTCACATGGCGGTAGACAGCAACTGGACGGTGGATGCTACAGTTCGGGTCCTCGCCCAACAAGGCCTCGAGGCCGCTTACAGGGCTTTCCAGGAGACCTTTGCGACTCCTCCACCGACCGGAGAAGAGGTAAGCGTAACTTCTGGCGCTAGATCAGGCATGACCTGCTGCCCTGAAGTAAGAATCTCAGAGATGATGACGAATCTGCACCTTGACCCCGTTTCCGCTGACGTAAGATCTTCCGACGAGTTGTACCTGGCATTTTTCGATCATTTCCGCCGAGTTTTCTCATCGATACCTCGATGGTGGGCAGCGCTCTGGCTGATTCGACTCATCATTTTGACTGCCCCGTTCAGCAAGCACTCTTTTAGCAGATTTGCGCCGAAGCATCTATGCCGTGACTTAGAAGAACAAGGCTCTGCAACGAGTGTGGACGGAAGCGAGGTGAACGCGAGACGACCCAGTCTCTTTGATTGCCGTGCAGGAGCTTGGCAAGCGGATGCACCACTTCGGGACTATGCTGCTGTACCTTTACTGGCAGCAGGAGGCCTTCGGTTATAACGTAAGGTCTCGAACCCACCCGAGCGCGGCAACCGTCTAGAATGCCGAACCGGTCAGGCTAAATTGAATCTCGTGATGTTTGCACCACATAATTAACCACTAGCACTTCTCTTCATGTGACGTTCAGAGTGTGTGTGTCCCGTAAGTGCGTACTCCCATGTGTGTCCAGAAGTTTGACAGCTGGCCACAATTTTCGACAATCAGCTCGTCGGCAAAAATTGTAAGAGTCTTTGGTCAGCTTGATACCTGTTTGCTGACTCTATTAAACGAGTTTGAAATTCATGTCTTCGATACCTTTGCAGGCCCTCTGGTGCAATAATCATATGGACCGTTTCCCCGAGGAGCTTGCCTGGGTGCTCGGTGAAGCGCGATCGGCCACTGCCCCTGAAAGTCCGCCAGGAGAAGGAACGCAAGTTTGAAGGGCCTCACAAGGGACTCGTTTCATAGATTGATCAGCATAATCTCGTAGTCTCTCTGAGAGAGCTTGGCCGACAATAAGCACCTGTGGGCAATTCGAAAGATGAAAATGGTGTACAATTACTTGGGTTTTACGACGACCCCCAGTGATCTTGGCAGCCAAAAGATGAAATTTGCAGGCCGCTCAGGGTGCTCAGCTTCTACGGACCATTCAATATGCACAGGAATCGGCCCAGGAAAGGAGCAGAGGCTTAAATGCGTTTCGTCATCTCAATTTTGCAGTACGCTGTGAAAGAACGAAAAGTGGCACGCAATAACTGAATTAAGAGTACACCCAAGAGGCTTGAGTGAAAAATGGATGCTTACCATCACAGCGTTATCGAAGATGCTAACGGCCGCCTGCACTCACTGCCTTGTGGGATCAGCATATCATCATAAGAATATCATGATGCATCATTCCCGGACTCATCCGACACATGACATGAAACGGTGATCGAGTGAGGGAGTATACTAGATATGCATGAAGCTTAGTAAGCGAAGGGCCATCAATCCGGTCGTGTCCTCTAGAAAGTGAGCTGTTCTCTAGTGAGCTGCCGGCTCACTTGTGCGTCGTACCTCGTCTACAGTACTTCTTAAGTCCATCAAACGGCATGCATGATTCCATGCGTACGTACGTTGCTGATCAGGCAAGCGTTGCCCGGCTCATGGTCTTGCATATATATCATGTTCCCAGACTTCTTTGACTCAAGATTGTCAGGTCTGACAGTTCAAAATCGAGCTAGCGTCACACTATCCAATCTACGTTGACGTACTATTCAATCTGCTTTGACGTACACTCTCAAAAGAACGTCCAGAGAGCTTTTGACTTCAGCGCTAAGTTTGCGGAAATCGCAGCTTTGCAACTCCCCTTGTTCACATCTGAAAGGACCGGGCGCGCTCGCACACTCAAAGCTATCCGAGCTACAGACGAATCTCATTACATCCTCAGCTGCGAAGCGTTGGTCTTTTCCCTGTCATAAGCCGCACCTATTTACACGTTGTCATCGTCCTCCATACCCACCAACTCGAGAGACACCGCCCAGAGCTTTTTGGCCGCCTCCGCATCGTATGCGTGTTTTGCGTACCCGTCTGAAAAGGGATCCGCTTCGTCCTTGGGCTTCGCAGACTCGCTGACGTTCTCCAAATACTTTCCCCCCTTGCCCTCCCACTCCTTGCCGACCGCGGCCCAGACAGTCGTCGCTGCTCCCTGCAGCGAGAATAGGTTGCTCAGCAAAGGTTACATTCGTTCACATTCGTTTCACATCCGCTTACAACAGCTTAAGTTCGGCGCTCTAACTTTCTTTATCAAACTTCGTTCTGGTCTGTAGAGGCAGAGAACGGAAGCAATGCGTATATCGAGAGCGGGGCCCTTTTTATCAGCAGTGCCGCAGACTCAACAAATACTCAGTGACGCCACGCCCTACCAACTCAAGGGCGGTCAGACGGGAACAATGCCCTTTGACCGCCTTATAAGGAGTCCTTTGAACCACGAAGTGGAACTTTTCCCCAGCATTGCAAGGCTTGGTCGTCGAAGGGACACTTCAAGTAGCACCTTGTACCAACGACTGGCATGCCGATCCATACTCACCTGCTCGACGTCCTTCATCTTCTTCTGCCACTCCGGTGACAGGAACGAGTCGACTTCTTCAGGCTCCATGTGGCGAGCGAGACCCGTCGAAATGATCCCCCCCGGGTGCGCAGCCGTCGCATGCAATCCCTGCGCTCCGTACCGCCTCTCGATTTCGGTCGCGAGGTAGATGTTGGCCGTCTTGGCCTGGCCGTATGCCACCCACTTCTGGTAGCCCGCCTACGGAAATGAGCGACAAAAATGTGTCTCCCCTCGACCGGACTGGATCCTTGCGAGACCTGTGCATATTCCACAATTCTGGTAAGCGTTCCAAAACGAGATCGACTACAACCTACCCGTCATTCACAAGATATGCGAAACGAAAGTGCGCCTGCTGAAAGATGACGTTATACGACTGTCAATCTTGGCGCTCCAGAGCAGGATGCAGAAGCCGTTGAAGTCGACGGCACTGAGTAGAGTTCCAACGGAATGACGCCTGGCACCTCCATGACGTCACTGCAACGGTCAGGTTCTTATGTTTCCCAAGACGCCTCACCTTCTTCAGGTCCAGGTCGTCGAAGTGGATGCCCGAGAAGCCGTGACCGGTGGACGAGAGCGAGACGACGCGGGACTGGAACTCGGGGGTGGATGACGTCAGCAGGAGGGGCTTGAGGAGCTGGAAGAGCAGGAAGTGGCCCAAGTGGTTGGTGCCGAACTGGGTCTCGAAACCGTCCTGGGTTTGGCCCTCGGGGCAGGCCATGATGCCTGCGTTGAAGAGGAGGGAAAGGGTTAGAAAGTCAGGTTGAGCTTTGATGATCACCTGCCCTTTCGCCAGGCAGCATGTTCCACATCTGTTGATGGTTAGGTGCCCTGGCAGAAGAGACCGTTTTGGGTCTGATTCTCAGGGCACATCAAAATGCCTCTTTAAACAGCCAGAAAGAATGGTCAATGAAGTAGAGTTGATCATTCTTGGGTCAGGCGCCCGCTTCATTGGCAACTCCAGGCTCTACGTCTGCTTAGTGGTCAAATAGGTGCCACGACATGTGTCTCCGTGGACACGCTATGTCTAAGATGACTAGGAAGGACAGAAACTTACTCAGTTTTGGTTTGCTCAGGTAAAGCGCGGGTTTGCAACGCACATACTGTGGGCGACTGCTTAAGTGCCATGGTTAGCAGAAGTCTCGTGGTTGTGACGGTGGTTTGTGGAATCAGAGAAGAGAAGACGACAAGGAGCAGACTGAAGGAAATTCAAGACTCCGAAAAGCAATGTCGGTTGGACAAAGCACACTTTTTGGGGCAACGAGTAAAGCGAAAATGCATTGCAGGAGAGAGAATCTTCTTATTTTGAAAGAAACTGGGTTATTGGTAGGAGAATGAAGGTAGTTTGACCTGCCAGCACTAGAAGTTTCATATTTGATTTACGGTCAAGTGCTCTTGCAGATGAAAGTTTCATTCGAAAATCAACAACGGGACTTCTTTCAGCACTTCAACCTTCACAGACAGTGTAACACTTCTTAGTAGCGACAAGCCACCTGAAGCACTGGGTTTTATTTGCAAGCAACCCCGGCCTGCTTCTCGAGTGTCATTCTAACCTTTGCCTGTGAAGACAGATACGTATGCATCTCTGGAAGGTATCCAAAGCAATACAGTAGAGCCAGTATAGCCAACAATGCAGCCCACCCCTTTCATCAGCACTGATCGATAAATTCACACCCCTCTCGTGCCAAATTGCCCTCACTATTTTGATGCGCACAGCATGCGCAATCTACAAGCAATGTGCAAGACAGCATCATATCGACACCTATCATTCCACCATCGTCGTTGACATATAATTCCAAAACCCTGACTTTTCAAATTTGAGCTTGTTGCTGCCTCAAACACAACCGAGCAGAAAAGCTCCCGCTCACCAGCATTGTTGATGAGCACGTTCAGCTTCTTGCTCCTGCTCAGAAACTCCGCAGCCGCTGCGCGCACCGACGCCAGCGAATCCAGCTCCAACCGGAGCAGCTCAACCTTCCCTCCGCTCCCGCTTTTATCAGTCTCCACAATGTCCTGCACCACCTTCTCCCCCTTTCCCACATTGCGCACTGTGAGAAACAGGTGCGCGCCAGTCGCATGCAAAGCCCGCGCAGTTTCCACGCCAATGCCAGACGAGCACCCAGTGATCAGGATCACTTTGTCCTTGAGCTTACCAACGAGGCCCTCGTCCTTGATGATTGCCATTGCGGTCGGGCGGGCATCGCCAGGGCCGTTGGGCGTTGCGTGCACAGCAGCATATGGAGCTGGTGGCGCCATTGCAAGGTGTTGTAGGAAAGACGATTCAAGAATTCGCTGAGAGGAAGAGCTCAAACAGCTGCAAAGTGCACCCAAAGAGCTCAAGCTTTATGGTTTGCAGGGTTGAAAAGGAACTGGCAGTATGCAGAATGAATGCTGTAAAGCTAATGTTTTATATCCGTCACTGTCGCTGCTGTGATTCAGCAAGAAAACTGACAAACGAGTCTTGCTTGAGCCTTGAGCCTTGAGGCTTTGGCTGAAGCTGCAGTTGCCAGAAGACGAGCAGGTTATAATTTATATGCATACGAGATCCAGAGGCGCCTCCATCTCGCTGCTGCTGAGCACATTGCAGAAATTGCATTATGGAATCCTCCACCAAATGTCGACATCTGACGTCAGTAGCTTCGGAATCGGAGCGATTGGAAGCCCGGTAGACATTTCCAGAACAGCGCTAGCGCCTAGCACGAACCGACCACCACTTCTTGACGACGTCATACGTTTCAATATCTTTATGCATCCTGGCCGTCCGTACGCCCTTCCATTTTTGATCGAACGGACGCAATGGAGGAAAAAATAACCCGCGCGCAAACAATAGGTTCAGATGGTATTTGCGATATCGTGGAAATTCCTACAGCCTACAGCTAGTCGATCATCAGTCTAACAGTAAACCTTCAGGACTGGAGTTGTGCTGTTACTCTATCTGGATTTCTTTGGTGTCTCTATGTTCTACGTACACAGGGAGCGATTCAGCCTGCGAGACCGAATGAGTATCATTCGGATATTCTCCATGAAGTAGAGTCAGATCCACATCAGTGGCCCGCCATACGCTTATACACTGATACACTTACCCGATTTCATTGTTGAATCAGTCTATTTGACAATTTGAAGCATCCATCTGGAAATTTTGTTCAAGTATGACAAGAAGTACGAGGCCCTACGAGGAAGTATCAGGCTGATGGGCTCGGGAATCGTGCGGGAATCTAGCTAACGGGAATCGTGACATGATGTTATTATTGACGTACTCTTCGAAATTGATCGATGTAGATAGTGGTACTGCATCTCTTATACTTCCAAGTCTGAAATGGGACAAACCCGGTCCCGTTTGCTGATTCGGATGCCAGGCAGATGCCGGAGCATGGTGTCCGAACTAAAGTACGTCACAATTCGGCCGGAGTAGGTACATGACCCAGATCGGATGGGTCCAAATGGCAGGGCTCGAAGAATAATGTAACCTACTGACTCTTGTCAATCTGGAAAGTTCTGACGAGCTATGTCAGTGCTCCGACGGGCAGATCTGCGTGGACGCCTGCACTAAGACAAGCGCGTGATCATTCTAGTTTCTGACAGTACTCTGGCAACATAATCTCGGGACATTAAATGTCATGGCACACGTGCCAGCATGGGCTTCCCAATCGAGCCCAATCATTGGATCGCCCAGGTGCACAGGTTTGCGCCTGCTCATCTTCTCCGATCCCATTCAGCTTTCAGAGGCATCTCCCTGATCACTGCAAGTCACATGGGACGTTCATGTATTGACGTGCACATGGTATAAGAAGAATTGCGGCAGTCAAGTAGTACTTGTAAGCGGTGCGCACATCTTTACAGCTTCGCACAAAGCCAATGTAAATCACTTCATGAGTCTTTCATCGCCCAGAATGTCGTCATTCCAGCATGCGACAGACAGGGGCCCTTATGCACGTCAGAGACCAAAGCAGTGACCAACTTGCAGCGTGTCATGTGGAATTGAAAGCGCAACTAGGTCCTCCGTCAGCAACTCTTCGTGACAAATTCAAGGTTTATTACGACGGGCTGTGTAGCTTGGCTTGAGATGCGTAACGAGCTGTGATCTCCATACGGCCCGCACAGTGTCCACTCGTCGAGGACGCAATTCTCATCAGGGAAGACGCTTCACAACTTTATAATGGTTCGATAAAATAGCTAGAAAACGCATCCAGGAACGTTTATTGCTACATACCACCAGAGGCTCAAACGAAAGGTGGACTTTCAAGTTGAATGCAGATAAGACTTTACGATCTAGAGACAAGCCCTTCTTCGGACCGGATGGCTCCGTCCGATCTGCTATCTAGCCGGTGAAAGCATCGCGAAAATGCTCGAGATCAAGTCCGCCGTCCAGCACAGCTTGCCGGGACACGGACATCAGCCCTTCACGGGTCGAGCGCCATGGTCGGCGCACTGTGACGTCATGAAGCTCGAAGATTTTGTAGGCCAGTCGTGGGCACTTCAGGGGCTATTCGAGGGGGACACTGGCAGGCTCCTTCTCGCAAGCCGGGGCCTGACCGATGCCGTCCTGGCAGAAGTCGAAGGCAATGCGCATCAGGTGGGTGGGGGCGCTCATGTAAGAGTGTGTTTTCAGCACGAGCTCCTGCAAGAGTCGCTGAGATAGAGAGAGGAATCAAAAGTCGGGTCACGTCCAGCTCCGTTCGTCATCCAGATGAATTGCTCGAAGTACGCGATGAAGGAGAAAGGAAGGTGTATGAAGGGCGCTGTGTGCGAAAGGCGCGTTTCATCTGCTTGAGTCCCGCGCAGGCGGAGAGGCAAAGAAGGCAGAGTTGACGTCAAGTCTTGTCGAATGGGTTGACCAAAGCGGCAAACGTTGCCGACGGGTCGATGCTCAGCGGAGCTGGCACGACCGCACTCGGGAGTCCCAGCATAATGAGAACGTGAAAGATATGTTAGCTGGCTGTACTTCTTTACTCAAGGCCACGTGGCAGCAGCTGCTTGGTTTTGGGAAAACTTTCAGATTGTTGGACGTTTCAAATGATGTTCAAAGTAAAGGCAAAGAGAGTCTTCATGAAACCCATATGACGGATCCACCTAAAAGCAACGTCCCTTTTTTCTTCTTTCTGCAGGCCGTCACACTCTTCGATCTAGTTCCCTCCCTGACTCGTGCCCAGTTTCGTCACCATGCGAAGCAGCTCACGGCCCACAAGTGCAATCTAGCGACCTTCTGTTCAATGCTCTGCAAACCAAACGGGCACTCAGGAGGCATTACTCCAGGCCGGGAGCATTCCCCGAAGGGAAAACCACGACATGGCAGCCTTTCAACAGGAAAGGGCCCTCTTGGGTCTCAGAACCGGTTGCACGTTTGCAGCGGAAACTCCAGTCCGGTTAGCGGCTCTGCACATTTTAAGAACATGGCAACCTCAGCCAGCGTGGATGGAAAGAGCTGTAGTGTTGGGGAGCATGACGGAAGAGAGGAATCGCACTGTCAGCTAACGGAGGAAAAGCTGCGGAGAGGGGCAGGAGGGGCCCCTGGGCTGTGCGTCCAGGTTGAGCTTCAGCGAGTTGCCGCGGCCACGCCGGGGGGGATCCATTCTGCGGTCGTTACCAATGGGAGGAGTTTGATAAAGGGAGAGGTGGCGAGCCCTGACGGATCAACCGCGGTGCTTGCGACCTTCTGCCATGTGCCTGAGTTGCAAGAAGCGATCCAATCGCTGTCCAGATTGAAGCGCGCAGTCCAGACAACCAGCTTTTCGCTGCCGCCTCGGACGAAGATGCCGGTAGGCTGCTCTCCGTTTCGGCCAGCTTTTCAACAGCAAGATTGAGGTGTACACTTGTCTGCTTTGACAGATTGGTTCCCTTATTGGCCAGCACCTCTTGCAGGGCCAAGGGAAACAGGCGTCGGTGCATTCCAAGGTTTCGTCGAATTCGAGTCCGCTGCCTGATCGCTCTGGGTCAGCTTTGTTGCGTCGATGAAATCATCGTGTAAGTTCTCAATTGGGTGCCTAGAGAACCAAGGCCCGATGATGCAGTGCGAGCAGGCGAAGCACGCTTGTTGACCGGGTGGCGCCCGGTGGCGCGGCGGTCCCGATGACATATGGCCATGCGTATATGTGTCAGTGTCATTCGCCGTATACTACCAACGACGAAATTGCGATCAGCTTCTCAGTAGCTGCTAGGGATAAGATCATTTTAACTGTATGATTTGTACCGAGTTGCGCGCATGTACGTAGGCACGTCGCGCCGCGAGTTGTGTTGGAAATGCATGCAGTAACATTGATTCTAGGTTTGGTTAGTATCCCTCATAGAATTTTGACACTCAAAACCTTGCGGTTTCGAGAGCTTAGGGACAGTCAAGCACTATAGGCAACTTAATGCGCGCATGCGTGTCAAGATGAGCGCAAAGTTTGCGGATCAGGGTTCAGTATATAAGCTTAGTCGAGATCAACATGAGAAGCAGACGTTAACTATTGATTGAGTTCGACAGTCAGGCCTTGGCCATTTATGACAGGTCTTCCGTTGACCATAATGATTTCGTGCAGATTTACATTTCAGCGCTGCCCGATCAATAGACTAGAAGTAATTCAGGTGCCATTGCGTTGAATGCCGCCTAGGCAACCCGAGACAAGCATGTTCACCAAAGTATTACTGCAGGAGGAGATGCCATGATTGATAGTGAGTAGTTCTCCTGCGCCAGGATAAATAGGCGTCAGACGAAACGGCAGATAGAATCGTGTAACACAAATCCAACTTGGCGCGCAGATAACCCAGTGAAGCTAACAAGCATTTGAAGCATAGTGAACCCTGTGACAAACATCCCGTCACTATCATCCTCAACGACGAACGGCA